CACCCTGGCAGTGGTGCCATCCACTCCTGCTGTCATTTCTTGTCTGCTTTGTCTGGGCTGCTCTGGTGAGGTGGAACAATCATGAGCTCCGGTCCCAGAGGACCTGGGGTTACTCACCCACAGAGAAGCGGTTTCGTGAACCTGACCTTTGAGTCAGCCCTTCTCTGGGCACTACAGATGCACGATCTCATTTCACGTGAGCCCCAACCTCCTCGCCTGGCAAATGGGGAGCTTACCTGCCACTGGGGGGCTGCTGTGAGGGTTAAATATTTGTGAAGGTGTATGTAAACTGCAAAATCCTCTGAAAATATCAATGAAAAGTGGTCGTGTTTCTGGTTTCTGTGTTAAGATTGAGCTGCCTCTTAAGTTCAACATGAAGTTTAGGGCTTGGCATGGATTTCATGAAAGGAAGGGCCATGTCTCTTTTGTGTTGACACCAACATAAATAATGGAAAAATAAATAACTGAAAAACATCTTCTCCTTCTTCTTCAGCTCAATAACCATGCCCCTTTCTCTCTCATGCCACGTGGAAGGGGGGCTTTGCATCATGAGACCCTGGAAGTCTCAGCAGTAGGCAGAACAATGGCCCCCAAAGATGTCCACATCCTCATCCCTGGGACCTGTGAACATGTCATGTTACATGACAAAGGGAAACTAAGGTTGCAGATGACACCAAGGTCGCTAATCAACAGACCTTAAAATAGGGAGCGTGTCCTGGGTTACCCAGCTGTGTTAAATCACAAGTGTCCTTAGAAATGAAAGACAGAGTCCAAGGGAGCTGTGACTCCAGGATAATGGCCAGAGAGCCATGACACTGCTGGCTTTGAAGGTCGGGAAAGGAAGCCATGAGCCAGGAAATGTGGGCAACATCTAGAAGCTGAAAAAGTCATGGCAACAGATTTGCCCTTAGGCCCTCCGGCAGGGATGCAGCCCAGCTGACACCTTGAGACCCATATCATAATTCAAGCCTGCAGAACTATAAAACAATAAATGTGCACTGTTTTAAGCCCCTAAGTTTGTGATGATTTGTGGTGGCAACAGGGAATTCACACAGCTTCCACTCAAGGAATTTTCAGCTGCATTCTAGCAAGAAGGGCTTCCAAGACTACATAAGTGCAAGGCCAAGAACAGCCCCAGTAAACCTCCGCCAGGGTCACTTCCCCTAAGTAGTCAAGTCCTGGGCTGATCAGTGGCCATTGGGGGATGGTGGTGAGTGACACATTGCCGTCACCAGACTAAGAAATGTCATGGAGCACACGGCGTGGACATCAGCCTTCTCCACAAAGACAGTGCAGCCCAGGCCCTAGGACCCAAGCTCATTAATAGCTAAGAGGAAGAGATAATGCCAGTCATCAGTTCTTCTTCCTTCTGTCGTGTCATCTGCACCTCTAGCTTCAGCTACTACCTAATGAGTGAGGACCATCTGCCCACGCATAGCGGATGATGAAAAAATTTTGTTGAATAAATCAATGAATGATTCTCCACTCTTTACATCAGAGCACGCACTCTCCGAGCCCTGGAGGCCTTTTCATGCAGCCTCGCACAGCTCAACAACAGCAGTCCAGAGAGAGGGTGGACCTACCGCACCCCAGTGGCTCCCGACTGGCGTTGCTGGTGGCCGACACCAGGTAGAATCCTTCCAAGCACCCAAATTGTGTCCTGGGAGATGTGCCAAAGCCATCCCCATGGAGGAAGCGGATGGAGGTGTCCGCTGGGAACGTGCTGGAATCCAGATGAAGCTGGAACTCTCCACTTTGGATCAGATCTGCGAAGCGCCCAACGAGACCCTTGCCCACAAAGGCCTGCTCTGTAAGACACGGGGTGAGGCGGGAGTGTCACCTCACCGTTCTCTGCAAGGACCAGGGAGGATTCAGGGGCAGAGCCGCCCAGAACATCCATGCCGAAAGGAGGCACACGCATTGCTCAGTGTCTCATTGCACAGAGGGAGAAACTGGGGCCCAGATAAGGGGGCTGGCTGGCCCAAGGTCACACAGGGGTCAGAAGCACAACTAAGAGTCCAACCCAGGTCTCTGGCTCCTGTCCTTTCTGTGGCTATCAGTGTCATGCCCCTTGGCAGAGGATATCATGACTTCGGTCGCTAATCTCAGGTCCACTAGCTGGATACACAGCTGGCTCAGCATCTGGCCAGCCACCATCTCTGAGTCTCAGTCTCCCCACCTGCAAAATGGAAATGCCCCTCTTGCAATTGGGAGAGTTATGAGAGAGAACGTGTGATGGGGCCACTCAAAGAGAAGACACAGCCTCCAGGCGGCAAGGCGGCCTTCTGCCTCACTGCTCAGCTAAACATCCAGAGGGCCGCCAGCCGTCCAGCTGTGAATGTTTCCTAGGAAGCGACCAGAGGAGAACCACATCTGGAGCTGGGGCAGATCCCAGCTCACAAGGAACAATCAGGCTATCATAAAGCCAGCCGAGACCTGAAGCCACCACCATCACCACTGACGCCAGGAAGAAACATCTCCTCTGTTTGCAGCTTCCAGCATACCCAAACTATCCAGGCAAAAGGGAGCCCTGATTCATAATGCTGTGGGGGCGGGGGGTGATTATTGTCACGAGGATGGCAGAATGGCAGCAATGCATTCTGGTTATACGCTGGCCACATTTTCCAGAAGTTTCCCTCATAGAACAAAGGGTAAGCTCCAGCTAGTCCTGAGCCCCAGGTTAGCATAAAACTCACTCTGTTCTCCTTAGATCTTCCTACACTCTCGATCCATGCCCTGTTTTAGATAGTGTAGTAATGGGTTTCAATAGTGTGAGTGGTCTGAGAAGTTTTATAATCAAAAGTGGGCAGGATATAAATTATAAGGCAACAAAAACTCCCTCAACCACCCTACTCACCCCTTCTTCACAGCTACGTCCCCTCTCTGTGCCCAGAAAATCAAGAGAAGAATTAGAAACTGTTCACAAAAACACAATCAGGAGATATTATTTAACTCTAATAAACTATTGATCAGAATTCTATTGATTGTTACGTAGTTTTTGGTACTTAGCACCTCCTACAGGCCAGGTATGTAATTTTCTCATGAGACCCTCACGGGGAAGTATTATGGCTTCACTAGCTCCATTTGACAGTTGGGGATACTGAGGTTCAGAGAGCCTGCATTGCTTTTCTTTAAGACAGCAGTACAAGGAAACATACCGATGTCATGCAAATCAGGAAGAGAGGCTGGTGGGACATCTTCAAGCTGCAGTTTCCACGTGACATTCACTCCTAAACGCTCCGGGGTCAGACACTCCACCTGCACTGTGGAGTCATCGCAGGCGGGAATGGAAATGGAGGTCCCAAAAGTCTTCACCTACGGAGACAGGCACCTTCAGCTCAACAACACAGAGCAGGGAGCCAGCTTTGTGGAGCCCACACCAGGTGCCAACATTAGCTTATGTTACTGCTGGAGGGTGTGACAGCTGGTGACCTGAAAGCTGGACTCCAGCAACAGGAGGCTCCTCGCCTTGTCCCCTGTCCTTGGAATGTATGCTCTGCCCTCTGTTCCCACAGGGGGAGCTGTTCCAAGGAAGCAGTACTGAGCATTCTTAGAAGGCCATATGGCACAAGGTTTGCACGTGCTGCATTCGTCGGGTCCTGTGTGAAGTGTTTTAAACATAGGAGCTAATTTAGTCTCTAAAACAAACCTATAGAGTCAGGACTGTCATCACCTTCATTACAGATGGGGAATTGGCCTGAGAGAGGCTGAGCAATTGCCGAGGGTCACACAGCCAATAAATGGGGGAGCCAGGATTCGAACCCTATGATCTTAACCTCTCAGCAGAGTGTAAGGAGCGAGGGCTTTGGATGAATGTATTATCTCACTTAATCCAACCCTCCAGGGTGGGTGCTGCTGGGCCCCTTGCACAGATGATTGATGGGAGGCTCAGCAGGTAGGAAGTGGTGGAGGCAGGGCTTGAACCCAGTTCCATCCGACTTGAAAGCTTGTATATCATCCATCTCTGGCTCCTGAACAAGACCTACCCCTGACCTTAGCGGCTGTGTCTCATGGTCATATCCTGACACCTTCTCCTGGAAGCCCCCACCTCCAGGTCCCTGTCCAGGCTGCCTTCTGACCCATCTGTCTTCAGAAGGGTCCTCTCTCAGGTCTGGGAATTCTGGAATATTTCACCCCTCACTTCTCCATCTCAGTAAATGGCGGCACCATGTTTTGATCCGGTCTCCCGAGCCCAAACCTTACTCATCCTCAGGGCTTCTCTTTCCCCACATGCATTATCTACTACCCCACCCGGTGGCCTCTGTCTCCCCACTGTGTCCCAAGTCCTTCTGCCTCAAATTTGGTTTAATGGAAGAGTCTTGATGGAGCTGGACTTTCTGAGAGTTATGCGAAATCTTGGGCAGCTTCCTCTCTATGGGCTTTAGTTAATTCAGTTATAAATTGAGGGCTAATGATACCCACTGAGCAGGGTGCTGAAGTAATCGGAGATGAGTAATGCACAGCTTCTCATACGGCACCAGCACAGCTGGTGCTCAGGAATTAATAGATATTGCTAATATTGTTGTCGAGTGCATTTCTTTGGATAAAAGGGGACAATATACGATTCCATTTGTTTTAGAATCTATACTCTGTATCTGGGTTTGTGAAAACGTGGGTTCGCCACGAGGCACTAAAAATGAGTAGCTCTGATGAGTTAGCAAACTTGGAGCAGAACAGGACTAAGCGAAACAGTGACTTCTAAAGACTCCCTCTGAGAATCCTCATGACATCAGCCCACCCGTGCCAGTTACACAGCTGAAAACTCTGATCTCTGTTATTTATGGTCCAACATCCTCCCAGCTGCCATGTACTATTTTTCCTCCGGGAAGACCCATAATGCCTCCTCTTGGGTCCGCTGAGGACCACACCTGTCATGGCGGTTCAGAGTGTGTCATGGTCCCCCAGCCTTCCTCCCTGATGCTCCCAGGCTCTGTGTCCGTGGGCGGTGGTGGTACTCCCTGGTGATCACAGCTCTGTCCTTGCAGTGGTCAGCCTGGCACTGCCATTCCCCAGCTGTGTGACTCTGGCTAATTATTTTAATGCTCTAGTGTTCACTTGCTTCATTTACAAAATGGCACTCCTAGGGGCCCTGTGAAGACTGCACGAGCTAATCCATGCCCAGGGATGCACAGTGCCCAGCACATGATACGCGCTCAGCACATGCTTGATTTGACATCTTCCTGTAGCAAGAACGGCAGTGATGAGATGGGTTGGGGTCCTATGCCTGCCGTTACATCATTAGCCTTGGCCTGGATTCCTTTCTCTTTTTGGGCCTCAGTTTGCCCACTGGTAAAATCAGTGAGGGCCAAACTGTAGGTTCATCTGAGCCCTGAGGTTCTCTGACATGGTGACCCTGAGCTCAGTCTAAGCCCCCACTGCAGGGAAGGCCAGGCACTTACCTGGATCTGGCAGAAGCCACGGGCCGTGAGCTCATCTGATATGAAGACCTGGAAAGCCCGCAGCACCCCCGCGTAGTCAGCACTGCATGTCTTGCCCGGTGGGAGTTGGAGCTGGAACTGTGCTTGGGTCTGGAGGGTCTGCCACAGCTGGAGCCCTGCAGGGAAGGGTCAGAGGTCAGCAGACACAGGTGACAGACCTGTGGGGTTCTTTGCTTGGCTTTGCTTGGTTTTTCCTCTGCAAAAATAACCTTTTTTAAATTTAGCTTGGAATATACAAGCCATCTTGCATTGTCATCCTCACAGTCTGAACACTTCCTAGCACAGCTTGACCCAGAAATTACTTAGCACCCTCACAGTCAGCTCAGCCCTGCCTCAGCCTTTAAACCAGGCTGCTTTACATTTTGGGAGTCCTGGACATTCTTCTGGGGAAATCTTCCATATTATCTTGCATTCAAACAGGGCAACTCCATGTTGGTTTATCCATTGAGTAGACACCATAGACGATAGGAAAGGTACACTCTAAGGTTGTTTAGTGCATTATCTGCACAAGCATACACAGCAGCCTGCATTTGACTTCAGGAGCTCAAGACCCATGCCTGTCTTGTCTTCAGCCCCTTGCTCTACATCCAATCGTGACCAGCCTGGTCTTGAGTTCAGCTTAGGTCACTCTGTCACAGTCAGCATGACAGACCGCTTATATGTCCACATCACATTTTGAACTTTTTCTGGATAGCATTCTCTATCCCAGAATGCTTTGCAACAAATACTGTCCTTTTACCCTTGGCCAGCAACCCAGAGCCTTGTGACAGTCCCGGGATCAGGGTCTCTCTCCTGGATGCCCCGTCCACCGCCCTGCTGGACTGAGTGGCAGGTCCTAGCATCCACCTCCACCCTTCCTGACTGTGAGCAACCACCCCAGCCTTTGCCAAGGCAGATGCAGCCATGTGCAGATACAAGTGGGTTAGCAGGAGGGCAGGACAAAGGAACTCTGAAGATATTCCAACAGGGCACAGGCCCACGGCTCTGCCGGCATAATCCCTGGCACTCCAGATGGCCTTGGGGGAGGGGCTGGTGTGGCAGTGTCATTCTCAGAGGCTGGACAGGCAGCTCTGAGCTTGGCAACACCATACCCTGTTTCCCCAAAAGTAAGACCTAGCCAAAAAATAAGCCTCACATGATTGTAGGTGCCAAAATGTGGCACCTTGGCATACTAAATATTTTAAACTGAAGGAGTTTGTGAAAAAGGCACCCTTCTCCCTGAAACAGGTCATAAAACCCTCATGTGAGGGGTGCGTGCCCTCCATATCCTGCAGGAATCATGCTACGGCTTCTTCCCTGGGTAGGTCTTCTTTGGGGGGAAACACCATAGTACCAATACGGTCCCTGGGGCACCACCTGCTGAACACAGCCCTGTACCCAAGACATCCCAGCAGAGCTTGATGGCATTCTCCAAGGATCAGATGGCTCAGAGAAGCCACAACAGGGTCTGTGGAGCTGACAGCTGCTCCTTCTAGAAGAAATGTGCCATCGGGCCCTCTCTTCTGCTCTTGATGCCACCTTGGGTGTAGAAAAGGAGAGGGAACAGGGTGCCAGGCAGACATTCCCAAGGGCACTCACTCTGGCAGGCCTGGGGTTGAGGCGGCTCTGACACCCAGCGTTTCCTCTCGAGGCTGCACACCAGTGGCCCTGGTGGGAACACACTCCAGTAGCCCTGGAGACACAGCAGCTGGCACTGCTGGACGGCCCCTCCTGGGCCCGAGGCTCGCTCACACAGGATCACTCCACCAGCCACATCTGAGACGTCAAACGGCAGTGGGCACTGAAGGCCTGGGAGGAAGAAAGACAGGCGGCCGTGAACGCGAGCGGGGCTGAGTGCAGCGGCCCCTCCTCGGTCACACCAGGCCCTCCTGCGCTTCTTCCGGTCTCTAAATCCAATTACCAAGTGGTTTTCTCCACCTCAAAGCCAACATGTCATAACTCACTGGCTGCTGCCCAGGCCGCCTCTGGCTTCAGCTCCCCAAGCTCAGCATGTGGCACCTCCAGTCACCCACTTGTCCCATGCCAGAAACACGGCGGCCATCCCGGATGGTCCCACCTCCTCTGCCCTAGCATCAGGGAAGGCTGTGGCACAGACCTTCACAACTTCTCTTCAACCCCCTGTGCTTCCTGCATTAGACACGCGTCGTCTTTTTCTTGAACTGCTATTGGAGCTCTTTCACTAGGCTCTCCGTGTTTGGGCCTCATCCCCGCCTTTCTGCTCCCACGTTCCAGCCAGCGCTTGTTGCCAGCAAAGAAATCGTAGCGATGCTGGACATCCGCTCTCAGTCCACCCCCACCTACCCACCC